TTTTTTTTTTTTTTTTTTTTTTTTTTTTGGCATTCTTATCTGTAAATCAGTGGCTTTTGTGGTATTATGACACATTACTTTTCGGGAAAGATAATAAAATATTGACTACAAATGGAAAGTGGTCCTAATGAATATAGACCGTTCAATCAAAAGGTTTCTCCTTTTCTATTTTTTTTTAAGAATTAACCCAAATTGTGGCTCTTTTAATTGTGTAAATTAAAAATAATCTGCATATGTATAATATATATATATATATATATATATATATATAATTCATGTATTATATATGTTTAATTATGTATATCAAGTAGAAAAATAAACAACGTATCTTGCCGGTTATTTGTGTTAAAATATTTTAGATCACTCTTTTCAACAAGAAGATATGTTGCAATGTCTATCAAAATTAGAGATTCAAGTTTTAACTTTGAATTGTATCTCATGTAACTTTTTTTTTTTCCTAATTGGTGATTATGTATTTTAATTGTTATTCTCTATGTGAAAAACGGATAGGCCAAGTCAAGTTTCATTATAACTGATAAAGTTAATATTATTAGAAAACAAATATATAATCCATGTGAAAGAATATATTTATACTATACTATAATAAAAAGAAAAAAAAAATTCTGACGATATCATTGTCCTTCAGAAAATATCTAAAAGTTTAATCACCTAAGATTAACAATACCATACGTACAATTCAAGGCAATCTTTTTTTTTATTTTTTTATTCTTTCCGTGGTTGAGAACAAAATATTCATGTACTGTAATTGAACACAAAAACAACTTGACCTTTCGTGCCTCTTTCAGAATCAATTCCTATTGAACATGGTACAACTCATTATTCATTTCCTTGAGACAAAATACAACTATGTGTTTGTTTTATTTAGGGCAAAGATTACTTTTATCCGTGACCGAAACAATTTATATTCGGTAGTCGTAAAAATGTACAAAATTTATATATTTTTGTATATAACATAAATAAATGCATATATTTAAAGAACATATATAATTTTCGACTATTATTTTGAAAGTAACTGTACAATGTCATTTTTTTCCTTTTACTTGTGGTTCACTTTTTCATATTGTAACATTTGGTTAAATAACAATAATTGCATTAAACAATAGTCATGTATGGATCCAAATTTGGACGACCACGATCGTTGATGAATACGACAAACGACGAGATCCTCGTAGCTCGACGTCCTGTGGAGGATGACGGACAAGCGAGCAGAGACTGCACGACTTTTACAGAAATAGAGGTCCATTAGGGGGCATTAGGAATATTCTTTCGAATATTCCCTATGATTTGTCTTTTAGGGCTTAGAAGGGATTTGTGCCTTGTATATAGCGGAAAAACAATCTTTTAAAACTCTCTCATTTTTTGCTTTTCCAGCTAAGAACACTAACTATAATATTCGCCTACACGATCAATTAGTATCTTTAATGTTCGATCATTCATCTTCATGAGATCAAGAAATATTATCTACTGTGTTCACCTTGTATAACTTTCGTTCTAGAGATTATTATACTTAGCTAAGATTTAACCCTTTATCTTTTTTAATTGATTTGTTCAAAAGGGTTACAATATCTTTTGAGTCAAACAAGTCCTATGCAATAGCATTATACATTCATGGTCCATGATCTTTCGAGATTACAAGAATCTAACTTTGACCAAGGAAGTTTTCGTAATTTTTTTGTATATTTAAGTAGAAAAGGACGAAAAAAAAAAGTAGAAAAGGACGAAATGCGTCTGTCTCAATTAGTGAAATACATCATCAATCGGTAAGTCGCTAGTTAGTTAAATAAGAGAAACAAATCAAGCAAAAAAACATTTTTTTTTAAAATTTTGTTTCTCAAGTTGAGGATTATCTCTGGGATCATTGATTAGAAATCTATGGATGAAAAAATAATAATACAAAACAGTGCCACTTCTATTTAAACAAAGAGGACGAACCAATTCAGAGGCAGACGCACACTTTAGCAAGAGAGGTAACCGGCACTCGATAACTTTCGCAAAAAATTCATATGTATATATTTGTAAATGTCTTTAAGAAATAGTCAAATATTAGCTTAGGCCCCCATATCAATCTTTGTAAGCAGTGATAAATTTATATTGAATGTCATGGTGCTCCGCGATCACTGAATCTTGAGTCCGCCTATGCGAACCATTACAAATTTCGTCAATTGATGGCACAAATTGAATTTAGATTACAAGGATCACGACTTCATCAATTAGGTGTTTGAGTATAAAATTCAGATTACAACAATTAGATGACTTGCCTTGGTAAGATAAGTACTATCCGTACAATAGTAATTACTCATTTGTTTACTTTTATAACCATTAAAACAAACTTAAAAAGAAGAAATAATTTGATGAACAAAATTATTGTACAATAAATAAAATTAAAGTTTTATACACTTAATAAGATAAACTAATACTTGTACAATTATGTTGCTTAAAAAAATATTTATATATAATATTATTTAATAAGTAGTACTTTCTCCGTTCAATTCTACTTGACATGCATACTAAAAATAGATTTTCATTTTTACTTGTCACTTTACTCATATCAAGAGAATACAATTTTTTTTTATGTTATACTCACAGTATTTATTACTCATTTTAAGTCATTTTTCAAATCCAATAAAATATGCATTAATTAAAATGAGTATCATGATAAATTATATACTTTATTTATTATATTTTAAGGGGCGTAAAAAATCAAAACGTATCAAGTAAAAGTGAACGAGAGTATTTTATAAATAATGAAGAATAAATGTTAAATGACTTATTAGGAGAAAAATTGTCATAAAAAACATCATTGTTGCGAATCTATATGATAAGCTGACTTGTCAGCAGAAAGCAAGTAGGAACTAGAAGTTCAATGGATATTCGAAAACCGACTAAATCGACTGTATCGTACCTCACCGAACCGATTTTTAGGTTTCTTTTTAAGAAACCGTAGGTTTTTATATAAATATATAACCGCACCGATAATTAGGGTAAGTTTTTTATTTTATAAAAATAAACCGAAAAAAACCCGAACCGTACCGAATAAATTTTATATGTAAAAAATATATTTATTTAGTAAGTTTAAAAATAATAATGCATTAAATTTTCTTTGGGCCTTGGAATTATGAAAACTATTACAAACCAACAAGTAATTAAACTCAAAATACTAATTCCTAAAACCTATTATGCTACTTCTACTTAAACTAAGTTATTTCAAGTATCTTTATTCAATTATGAGTAGCAAACTACAATGTATTGAATATGTTTCCTTTCATATAATTTAGATTTATCTTTTTGAATATTTAATCTTCTATAGACTTTATTCTTGAGTCCCAGCTTGGTATATCTTTCAACTCGTGTGATTAATATTTTCTTTGTCTTTGTTTGATTTCTTTTACGCTGTTGTAGAATAGTTGATGGATCTATATTCTAGCCATATTTCTTTTTTTTTTTAATTCATCACTCTTTAAACAGTAAAAATGTCTAGAGAGTTTTGCTAATGTAATTCTACTTCTACTGGTGAATTTCACATGATATTAAAAAAATACCGAAAATTAACCGAACCGTACCGATACCGAAGAGAAACTAACATGATTGAGACGGTTTTGAAAAGTCTAATTTTGGTTATACATAATAAAATAACCAAAAAATTGGTATGATACAAATTTTATAAAATAACCGAACAAACCGAACTATTGTTGTGGGAACCACAGACAAAAAACTAAGGATAGTGCCGCACCTTTTAGTTCCCCGTGCCGCATTAGCCATTCTTTTTCTTTCAATCTGCTTCAGTACTCACTCCCAAAGCTCAACAGAATAAAAGAAAGGTAAAAAAAAAAAAGCAAAGAAATTAAAGACATGGCAATCAAAGAGTTGTAGCCGCCCCAGCACGCCAAAAAATTATTTTTGTGACACCCAATTACTATATATATCTTGAAAAACTTCCCTCAATTTCCAGTCCAAACCCTACAAATTGTCTGTTTCTTTTTACTGAGCCAAGGTATCAGCTTTTCTTCACTTTTATGCTGGTTTCAGTTAGTTTTTTAATCAAGATTCAATTTTTATGCAGTACCCATGATTTTTTTCTCTGTTATAGTTGCATGTTATGTTGAATCCCCCCCC